AAGTATCATCCACAGGGCAACCGCGATTCGTTGAGCTCCTCGACAAATAGTTCTCACCAACGTCTGACTGCTCGCGTTGGTTGTGATGAGAATTGTTCGGCAGCTAACCCGCGGTGAGTGAGCTGGAGCGATACTAATTACAACGCCTGACAATTCTCGTTGGTTTTGTCGGGTAGCTGAGGGCCTTACGACACACATTTGGGCAGATCGTTCCGTGGTCTACCCCAAAAATTCCATTGCGATTATCGCAAAAACAGATTACAGGAGCTAACTCTATCATTCCTAGACATGGCCATGATTATTATACTCAGCCGAGCTGAGTGCTCACTACTTTTCGGGAGGGTCCTGCCAGGGTTTACGCAGTCGGGGGGCGATGTTGCCGCCGTTTGTGACCCCATCTGCAGGGTAAGATTTTACATTCATGGGGTGGGCAAATGCCGCTAACACGGGTTGTTGTGTTATTATTCAGCTTTATTGTGCTGTCTGTACATTATGTTTGTTGGTTGTGCTCTGCCTTTCCCCAGCACGGGTGAGATTAATTGAAAGGTTGTTTTTTCCCACTGCAGTTTACTCAACATAATTACAGCCACGCATTAGCAATCCTTGCCACCGTAACCATCTCCCCCGACAGATGCCGCGTGTAACGCGCTCGGCTGTCAGACACACAGCGAGTTTACTCTTGCGTGTGATGGTGGCAGCAATGTGCCCAAGAAGTCAATGTCGATGTCTGCTCACCACGACCAGAGGGAGCTGCAGGAGAGAGAGTTCGTGCAGGTTTGCTGTTCCTCCTCCCCTTCCATTGAAGGAGCGCAGACTAAAGTGGTTTACTGTGTGGTCCACAGTTTTGGCTGCATGTCCACAATCGCATGACTTTGGCTCGTCTTAAATGTATCTCTCTACGTTGCTCTACGGATCTCTTTGGATGTCTATGTGTCTCTATGCATTTCTATGGGTCTTTTGTATATCTCTATAAGTCTATGAGTTTACTATATTGTCGATAGCTTGGGTTGCATGGCCACAATCGTAATAACACAATAGGTAATTACATTGAACTCTGAAACGGTGAGGTATATTATCTTATAGCTGTCAATTACTCCGTTAAATAACTTTGCAAAGCACTGATTTTATAGATAACAGCTATTTAATTATAGCTTCAATTATTATAGAGTGTGTTATGTTAAACAATCAGGAAATAAAATACTTGAGGTGGATTAAATGAGTACCGATAATCAGGATATTTTGACAAACGGACGATACGATGATAATCGTGGATGTCGCACGGGAGGTTCTGTCGGCCAGGACCCTCGCCGCACCGCGGCCACCCCGGCACAGAGACGCGGAGGCCACGTGGGCTAGCGAGTCACGGGGGGCCACGTGGGCCAGCGAGTCACGGGGGCCACGCGGGCCGGCGAGTCACGGGGACCACGTGGGCCGGCGAGTCACGGGGGCCACGCGGGTTTCACCGGGAGCCCGGCGCCGGCTGGCGAAGGCGCGGTCGGGAGTTTGTGACGTACGATTCTTTGTCTCCGCTGTCTACCCTTCTCTCTGTGTGTCTCTCTCTCTCTCTGTCTCACTGTCTTCCCTGTCGAACCGTTATCCGTGTCTCCGTCGTCCCGTTCTCTCCGTGTCTCCGTCGTCCCGTTCTCTCCGTGTCTGTCTCCCCGCGCCTCTCTCCGTGTGTATAATTCTCCCTGCCTCTGTCTCCTCTCCGTAGCTCTGTCTCCCCGTGTTTTGTGAATCGTTGAATCATACGAATTAAACCAAGAACAACTCCCACAGAGTTAGGGGTCCCTCGCCCCCTCCCGTCCTGCCCTTCCTCTGTCGTGGATGAACCCGCGAGCCTCGGCGTTCGCGTGCCCCGCGGGTGATGGTGGTTGCAGATAGTGGTGGTGGTTTGCGGGTGTAGTGGTTGCTCATGGTGGTTGGGGTGGTGGTTGCGCATGGTGGTGGTGGTTGCGGGTGGTGGTAGTGGTGGTTGTGAATGGCCCCGCGCTGCGCTCGGCTCGGCGCCGCGTCAATGCGAGCGCGCGCGGTGAGATCCTGGAGCGCGCACGGCTCCCCTCCCCATGCGATTGCGCCTCCTGACCCCCCCCCACCATCCCTTCTAAGCTTGGCCCCCCAATATTTACTCTGCTTCAGCTCTGCTCCCTTTCTCTTCTTATGTTTTCTCGTGTGCGCTCGGCCTCCTTATCGCTCCACCCTGACCCTTCCTCCTGATCCACCCTGCACCCCCCACCTTTTTACCCCCGCTGTCCCCCCGGTTTCTGCGCACCCCCCACCCCCCACCCCAACCAGATAATGTAGCTGAGTGTCGCGCCCCGCGCGCTGCTCCTACCGTGAATGAATGAACGCATTAACGCGGCTCCCGCAGTCACAACACCCGCTCCATCTTCATAAGGGAGGCGCGAGGGGGTGCCGGTGCGGGGGAGAGGGATCGCGGTGAAACGGAGAGAGACAAACACAGAGGCAGACAGAGACAGAGAGAGACAGAGCAGACACACGAGCGGCCTTGGTGAGCTCCCTGGCGGGGAAGAGGGTGAGGAGGAGGTGGAGGATGAGGGGCCGAGGCTGGATTGAGGGGAGGGGTTAGGGCTCCGAAAAGGAGGGGGTGAGGGAAGGCCGCTCCCCTCTCCTGGTAGCCTCCTCCACTCACCTCCTCCTCGCACCTCCTCCTCGCTACCGGGTTTCCAACCGATGCACTACTGTGGGAATCCAGAACGCTGCTCCGAGAATCCGTATTTGCTTTATACAACATGAAACGTGCTTATAGAATCGTAGAATAGAACATGGTAATATATATTTTTTACGGGTAAGTTTTAACTTGCACATTGTACTATAGTTGTAGTGCCTTACGCCGACAATCCCCACTCCAAGCCAAGCCGATCATTTGCGAATCCGAGTCGCCAGATCTGCGATTAGAAACGGTGGACGAGGGGGGTGCTATTGGGACCCCTCCCACAACTCCGACTGCCACAGGTCTTGATCCCCCGTTCCTGATCCTGAATCTATGAGTTATGGTGAATAGGTGAGTTGGTGAACATGGCGAAGGTGGTGAGGATAATGGTGGTGAGCGGGGGGGAGTTATGGTGGTAAACGGTGTGACCACGGCGAGGGCGATGAGGTGTTGAGGGTGGTGAGTGGGTGAAGGTGCGGAGAGGGTGAGAGTGGTGAGGCAGTGAGGGTCGTGAGAAAGAGGGCGGCGAGGCAGTGAGGGTGCTGAGGAGATGAGGGTTTGTTGAGGGGGTGATAAAGAGGTGACCGTGCCGAGTGGGTGAGTATGGTGAGTGTGGTGAGTGGGGGAGGGAATGAGGGTGGTGCGAGGGTTGGGGGTGGTGAGGGTATTGAGGGGGTAAGCGTGGTGAGAGGGTGATCATGACTCACTTGTCAATCAGAACGTATCAACACCATTGATCGCAACGCGTCCGTGTGTGTTGCGTTTCCCTAGTTCTCCATTATCTCTCCTTCCCTCTCCCCTATCTCCAGGCAGCCCCTGCTGGGGGATCCAATGCGCAAGTCAGCCTCGCTCTCCCTTTTCTCTCCAACACTCTACCCCCCTCTCTCGAACTCTCCCGTCTCATCCCTCCTTCTCCCGCACTCTCCATCCCCTCCTCCTACCCCCCCCCAGCCCTCCCCCTCCCTCCCTTCCCCCGGCCCCCGTGACCCCGGCCCTGACCACGGAACCGCACGGGGAAGTTTGACCCCGTGGGTGGGGGTGGGTGATGGGTGAGGAGAGGGGTGAGGGTCGGGGTTAGAGGGTGAGGGGAGGGACAGGGAGGGGCGAGGAGGGTAAGGAGACGGGTTGAGAGGGTGAGGGGAGGGGGGTGAGGAGAGAGGTGAGAGGGTGAGGGAGGGGTGAGGAGAGAGGAGGGAAGAGAGGGCGAGGGGAGGGGTGAGGGGGCGCCGTTGCCGTGCGCCGCCGCCGCGGTGATTAAAGAGCGGTGCGCAGAGTGGAGGCGCGCGGAGACGAGCACGAATACACACCCCTATAAAGACAAAGATCCCCCACTAGCCTTAACAGACTGTTGGGGCAAGAGCTGTTATCGAGAAACACATGAAGGCCGACACAGCACACGAGGGGCTGGGTGGTCAGCACCACGCCCGACCGCCGCTGTCTCTCTAGGGACGATGTTTACACAACGCACTGGGACTAATGTTAGGCGACGTAGAGGAGGCTCAGGACTGGTCCAGATAATCGTCATTGGTGTTGTCACTATCGTGAGCGGGAATCTAACTCGTAGCTCAGCACGCTAATCACTACACACCCCGTACACACACACACGTCTCTACACTCCATTCAAACACCAAACGCACACGTGCACATACACACATACACATATACACACACCGCCACGACTCACCTCCCACACACGCCCCTCCCATTACCACGAACACACCACCCACACGCGGCCCAGCCATCCGCGCCTCCCTTATCCGCAAGCTCTATCGAGGAATTGCGGGGGCTCAGAGGGGATACTTGGGGAACGATGGGGTGGGGGGCACAAGGGTCACGGGGAGGGGGGGGGGGCGATCACTCGGTGCAGAGGCATCCGCGGGGCTCGCGGGCCAGAGTCGCGGCGAGAAGCCGTTACCAGGGAAACGGAGCATCACTCGCAGGCGCGGTGCGGGTGGGTGGGTGGGGGGGGCTGTGTGGGTGGGTGGGGGGGGGCTGTGCGGGTGGGTGGGGGGGGCTGTTGTGGGTGGGGTGGCACGCGTGACACGTGAAACACGCGTGGGTCGCACGTGCCAGTGGTTCACACACTGCGCTTCGAACCTGGCCATCTGAGTTCGATTCCCGGCCACGACCAACATCATTGGCGAGTAATATCCCCGAACCAGCAATGGCCTCCCCTAGGTTCGCCTTAGCCTTAAATGAGTACCTAGTGCGGTGCGTGAACATCAGCTCTGGGGAGACAAAGGCGACGACTGGGCGAGGTTCTAACCACGCCACCACCTCGTGCGCCGTGTCGGCCTTCACAGGTGCTGCTCGCTACCAGGCATGACTCGCTCCGGCATGCTGTGTGCGTGGGTTTCCTCTGGGAACTTTGAGAAGACTGCACTGGAACTACTCAACAAGACGTGAGAAACGTTTACAAGCACGCCCCTCTCGACAAAGGGTCTTGAGACTTACTGAGATTTTTCCTGGAAAAATTAAGGATTGTGATGATATCCATTGGTAGGAGAGGAAGGACAGGGCGGAGGAAGAGAGAGGGCAGAGAGGGAGGGAGGAGAGGGGCAGGGGGTCGTGGTCCCGCGCCGTCGCGGCTCTCTGCCGCCCCCTGGCGCCCGCGACCCCCGCGCCTCGGCTCACTCGCCCGCCCCCTTGATGGCTCCTTGCGCCCCCGAGGTGCCTCTAAGAGTACATTGTCTATACCCTGCGTCCCCTATATCCCATAGACCCCTCTCTCGCTGTGCATCAACGCCTCGTTTTATCTCCCTGTGTTGGAGTGTTTGCTATTCAGTGGCCTGAAATAAAATGTTTCGCTCCGGATGATCGCTGCAAAGTATGATATATGTTTTGATTTAGTGTGCTGATCTTAAAGGTGCATTGAAAAATGTTGATACTCCGACTGATGCTCCTGCTGCTGTGGAGTGACTCATGCAGCCAGCTATGGCTGCAGGGTTTGGTGGTACATGTTGTTTAAGTCGTTTATTGTGAAAATTTGGTCACAGTTCCTATGATCACTGTTACATTGCTTATGGCTTTATTTTGGTGATTTTCGAAAACTTTTTTGGTTTAGCCATGTTTGTTTGTTGTAGTACGAAGTTAGACTGATGGCCTTAATCTAAGTTGTCTTGTGGTTGTTGTTTGACTTGCATCCCACTGGGATGTTTGCACACAGTGTGGGTGTACGGTGTTTTTTCTGCAATATTTTGCTGTCTTTTCTTGGATTTGCTGTTTGCACTTAGTCACATAGTCACTTTAAGACGTTTTCTTGTTCATGTTTTTGTTCTTTGTTTGTTGCGGTTGCACCCGATTCAAGAGCCGATTGGCTCACAGGGCTATGCCTAATACATGAACTTGAACTTGAGTCTCCGTTTCTCTTTCTGTCTCGATGTTGCCCCCTCGTGTCGTGTCCTGGGGTTGCATCTGTTTACTGAAAATTACCCTCACGCGATGGTCACGGAGGGTAATTAATGTGGCCATTAAATTCGCCCCGGAATGCGGCCCGATCGCATCAGATCCTCAAAGCTAAGCAGGCGTTCAGCCTGGATAGTACTTGTGATCGGCTTTCCACTCTGCACTGTCGAGAAATGCAATGTGGCACTGTACTTCCCTGCCACGTCGATACACCCCGCCTGAAGCAAACCCGCGCCGAGGCGGCGTGGTGAAGTATGGCCAGGTGACGCGCACTCAGCCCAAAGCCGGAATCAGCCCATCATCGTCGCCATCTCTTTCTGGTCGATAAAAGCCCTTCCACCGTTTATCAATCGTGGCTGTGTCGAGTGGAGTTTACACCACTGTCTCGTGGTGAGGAGGGGGAGCGAGGATCTCTAATTGTTGTTGGGGCGATGCGGCTACCGGTCAAAGCTTTGCTAAGCCAATTGAGTTACCGGTGCTCGCGTTGCTAGGGCCACGATGTTGTTGTCGTTGACGCGTTGCTAGGGAGATGGCGCCGACCGACGGCACGCGGGCAGGGTCCAGGTGGGTGCAGGTGAGCAGGTGGGGGCCAGGGGCGGGGCCAGGGGCGGGGCCACGCCCCGTGGTCACGTGGTCCAGCACCCCCACCCCCCACCCGCCATTTCGGACCCCCCGGGGCCGCTCCTCGCTCCGTCTCCCCGCTCCGTCTCCCCGCGACAGCTGCTCCGCCATGGCGCACATCGACGAGAACCCCTTCGCGGACCCCGTTCTCAACCACCCCTTCCAGGTACGGGATACCCCCTATGGTCGCGCGGGTTCTTGAGACCGCGTCGCGCTGGGGAATCGTTCTCGCCCGGTTGCGCTGCGGGGAACAGCGCCTTCCGGGCGGCAGCCGAGGCAGGCTGAGGGTGGGTGCGGGTCTCGAGGCCGCGGGCGGAATGCGGAACTGTGGAGCGAGGGCTGCGACTGAAGGAACCTCGGGCAGGGGACCCGGGCGAGGGGATCTGTGGGCCCCAGGCAAGGAGGTCCGGGCTTGGCAGTGGGCTGGAGGCTTTGGGAGAGAGAGGCCTGGGCCTGGAAGAGGGGGGCAGTGAGTGAGTGAGTGTGACGGGGTGGTGTGTTTACAGAGTGGGGTGTCTGACAGGGCGCTTCCGTGAGACGGGGGGGGGGGGGATGAATGTCGCCAGTGGGGAGACAAACACGGCCGGGGCGGCACATGGCACAGCAGCCCTCGTGTTCCGTTCGTCCGTAATAATTGCTCAGCATTTTGCCAAACGATATTTGTAGGATTGGTCGTGAGTGATAAGGTGGCGTGTGTGTGTTTGGGTGAGATAAGGTGGCGTGTGTGTGTTGTGTGATGGTGTGGTTTAGGGTAAGGTATGCGAAAAGTCGTAGTGTGACGGGGGAGGGTGTGCAATAAGATGGCATTATGTGTGGAAGATGCTTTAGTGGGTGTGTGTGTAGGGGTGTTTCAGCGACTGGTGACGTGGAGCTCTGAGGGATGGGTGTGCTATGGGTGTGCTATGCGCCTGTTGTGTATAATAGGGGATCGTCAACAGCACTCGTTTGACAACTCGAGCTTAAATGGGGAACTTGCTCTTTTGTGTGCAACATTATGTCGTGGCGAGGCCTGTGTGGGATGTGTGCGAGCCTCCCCTAAGTTGACTCATCCTCACGTGAATCCTCGGCAGGGTGTGCAACATCGCCACTGGGGAGACAGAGCCACCCCCCCCCCCCCCCCAGGTGCAGCAGGCCACCCGCCCTCCCTCGTGTGCCGTGCCGGCCCTCATGGGGGCTCGCTACCAGCACTTGCCCCAATTGTCAGTTAAGGCTATACGGGGGCTCTTTGTATTTGTGTGTTGGCGTGTTGTGTTTGTGTCACGTTTGTCCATGTCTGTGGGTGTGTTTGGGAAAGTGTGCGTAAGTATGTTACTGATTTTTTTGCGTATTGGTGAATGTTTGTGTAATTGTAAAAGTGTTTATTATGTGTGGGCGTGGTATTGTTTTTGTTGCAGCGAGGGCATGGGTGAGTCACTCTGTTTTGGGGACACGGGTTAGAGTGTCGGAGTGCGTCTTAGTTTTTCTTCTTGAGTGTGCCGACGTTTTTAGTGTGTAAGTGTGTTTGTGTGTTGGTTATATTTGAGTTTAACACTGTCTGTGTCAATGTAAGTTGGTGTGTCTGGGCATGTTTCCATGAGTATGTTAGTGCTTATGTGTTTTGAGTGCACTGCCTTTCATGGCTTGCTAGGCAGATGGAATGTTTTTGTCCATGCGTGTCAGGGTGTCTTACGTGTATGTTAATGTGTTATTGAGTGTGTTAGTGTGTCCGTGTGTATGGGCGTGTGAGTGCTGGAGGATGCTCAGCGATGCGTCTCGTTGCTAGGACCCTGCTGTGACCCAGGTGACCGACTCCTCCAACCGAGGCCTCACAGAGTACAACCCCTTCGCCTCTGATGACTTCGGCCGACAGGTGAAACCCGCATCAGCTATCCCCGCTATCCCATCGGCTCGCGGTGACCCCAGTGGGACCCCCTCATCTAAACCATGGTGAGAGGGGGACTCCCAGTGAGACGAGGCCCTTGAGACAACAACGGGGAATGCCCCTGGATCTGCCACAGTGCCGGTAACCCTGGGCAACCTCCCGTCTCTGGCTACCGTGCCCAGAAACAAGTCCCGAGTGTAACCGGGAGTGCGGGTAACCGAGGTAACCTGGTGTCCTGCCCTGGCAATTGCAGTGATTTGCCGTGGCGATGGCTTTTGATGGAAATTGTAGGGCAATGTGGCCCATCGTTGGTGAGGGTCATGATGATGAGAGTAGTGGTGATAGTGTGGATGATAGACAGGGTTATGGTGCAGGTGAGGGTAATGGTGAGAGTGGTGGTGATAGTGTGGATGATAGACAGGGTTATGGTGCAGGTGAAGGTAATGGTGAGAGTGGTGGTGATAGTGTGGATGGTAGACAGGGTTATGGTGCAGGTGAGGGTAATGGTGAGAGTGGTGGTGATAGTGTGGATGATAGACAGGGTTATGGTGCAGGTGAAGGTAATGGTGAGAGTGGTGGTGATAGTGTGGATGATAGACAGGGTTATGGTGCAGGTGAGGGTAATGGTGAGAGTGGTGGTGGTGATAGTGTGGATGATGGACAGGGTTATGGTGCAGCTGAGGGTAATGGTGAGAGTGGTGGTGATAGTGTGGATGATAGACAGGGTTATGGTGCAGGTGAGGGTAATGGTGAGAGTGGTGGTGGTGATAGTGTGGATGATGGACAGGGTTATGGTGCAGCTGAGGGTAATGGTGAGAGTGGTGGTGATAGTGTGGATGATAGACAAGGTTATGGTGCAGGTGAGGGTAATGGTGAGAGTGACGGTTTTGGCATAGCAGTGACCGTTTCTTTTCGGCTGCGATGGCCATGGATGAGGAGGCCACAGGACCCGGAGAAGCAGCTGAGCTGGGGTGGTGAATTTCCAGTGCAACACAATCCAAAACCACACGGTTCTCATCTTGTAGCTACACACGCACAGGCTCCATGAGCTTGAAAAACATTACTTTAAACTTCCAAAAGATGCCATCCCTTCAGTACCCAGGCCACTCTTGCAACTGAGATGCTCTTCCTGGTCCATTGGGTTATAAACTAGTTGAAATTTTTTAAGTTGAATTGATGTGAGGGTGACGTGTGATCTGTGGATTTCAACATCAATGCGTTGATGTCACTGAAGCTTGTGCTCTGCTTGTGCAATCAACCTCTCCTTTCAAGACTTTTTAAAACATCTTCAAACGAAGGTTTACAGCAGTGTCAGTGCAGCCTGGAGCGCACAGCCTAGGTGTGTAAATACCAAACATTTTTGGGTTCTGAGATTGAATCTTGGTCTTGCTCCTTTGCCCCTTGGCCCAGCATCAACAGCGGACGGTAGCTGTAAAGACTTACACAGCTGCTGCTCGGAAAAAAAATCTGCAGCCAATCCAAAATTTTGTTTGGGGGCCTTAGAGGCCCTCGTAGCAATGTGCACGGTAAAGGGCACGACATACCCATGCGTGTGGACAGGAAGGCGGAGCGAGAGAGATAGGAGTAGGGGTTGTGATTGGCTGACGAGTGACGTCCCGGCCCGCGTGACCCCACCGGCAGTGCTGTCACCTGTGAGGGGGGTGGTGTAATTGATGGGGGAGGGGAGGAGATGGGGCAGGGAGTGGCGAGTCACCGCTCGTGCCACGTGGCACCACTCCCCACCGCAACCACCTCCCGCTCACCTCGTTCTCCGCCCTGGATCCTCACCCCGTTCCCCCTCAGCACCACGGCACGACCCCTGTGCTTTCTGTGCCATTCATTTCCGTGTCTATCTCAGTCACAGTATAAATGTTTCTGTGAATGTCACGTGATCAGGCGAAGACTTGTCTAAGTTAAAACATAGGTGCTTAAGGAAGCTCGAAGTAGTTTGATCTAAATCTCGAATGCTGACGTCAAATTGAGCCATAGACAATCTTCAGCCACCATTGGAGGAGTTTTATTAATCAGAATTGTATCAATACATTGGCACTTGTAAATTATATATCTGTAAAAGTGACAATCTAGTTGGGTGGTGGAGGAGTAATGGGAAGGATTTTCCCATAAAGCTCCCACTACGCGGCCCAACCCAAAATATGGGTGCAAAACATATGTCCCTTCGGAGCCCTCGCAGCAAGCAGTGCACCACCTCGCACTTGCCAATCCAACCGATGGTAGTAGTGGTTAAGCGGCGTGCTGCCGATCTCCAAACCCATTTTATTGCTTACCGATTTCCAAAGCAAAACTTGTCAGTATATTTTTACTTTATTAAATGAGAGCAGCAACATTTGCCTAAAAAAATCGGTATGTAGTTTAAAGGTGGGATTACAACCCGGCAAGGCACTGCTTTGTATATCAGAGAGGCTAGCGAATGTTTTTTATTTATTCGGTGAGGTAGGACATCTCGTTGTGTAAGGGTGTCCAAGGTGTCGATTGTCACGTACAAAGCAAACGCGTGATGGCGTGATGACGACGCGTGTGTTAAACCTATAACTTACGCCCTGTGCATTTACACAATGGGTAAACTATGCCACGTGGTGTGAGAGAACAGCATCAGCCCCAGAGAGCACTACAGAACTATTTTAGAAGTCTGCTCACTTGCCTCTCATCCACACGGATAAAGCTACCAAATAAATTGTTGGACAACACGCATCCTTAACAAAACTGTTCGTTCGCAAAACAAAAAATCTAAAGTATTATTTTACACATCCCATCAGCCACATTGCGATCGGGGAGTTCATAATTTCAGCAGCATCGGTGTAACGCAGGTAAACTCAGGTGATGCTGCATCTGCCAAAGCTGCAGTATCGTCTGCATATTTACGTTGTTACTATATTCTCCATAATGACGCTTCACGATTGTCATCTTCTGATGAAGCTGCTCTGCTGTTTTCCAATCCAGCCAGGCCCGGTCTTGCATGGGATGCGGCCCCCTTACCTGTCCGGGGGGAACACACGTCGCCCCCCTCCCCCCCCCCCCCCCCCCACTTTGTCCCGAGTAGCCCACGTCTCATTGCTCCACATGCACATACGGGAAACCAGACACCGCGGTGTTAGCCGGCGCCAGGCAGAACAACAAAACTCCTTCACTCACAGCGCGTGGACACCATTACGGGAGAAACGGACACACGCAAGTGGGGATGGATTCCGTGATGAAAGCCGAGCTCATGAGGGGTGCCTACCTCGAGCTCATCCCTCCATCCTCGGGGGTCCCGGCCCCCTCACCCGCTCTCCCCGTGAGCTGAGTGGCGTTACTCATACTATCACGGTCCAGTGCTGTCATGGTACCGACTGATAAAAGCACTTTTTTCCCCGAGGGGCAAAGGCTGAAGGTGATGTTGGAGCGGTGATTCATCGCACACCGGCCGGCATGTGCAACTGTGGTGACACCACAGCTTACACAGCCGTGTGTATTTGTGAAGGTGGTGTGTGTTAAGTGTGCCTGCTGTGTGGTTTGTGTAACACCTGTGTGGTACGTGTATTGGGTGCAGCTGTATTCTGAGTGTGTGCAGTGTGGATTTATTACTCTGAGACGAACATCTCTTTTGCAACAATGGGTTTGCAGGTGCCTTCAAATACAGTTCGTCTGCGTGTGTGGATGTGTTCTTGTGCGCATATCCGTGTTGCTATGTGTTCACATACAGTACCGTATACCCGTTTGTGCGTGTGCGCGCATGGCTGTGTATGCGTGCCCGCGTGTACCAATGTGCGCCCACGTGAGTCTGCGTGTTGGCATGTGTCCGGTTGTGTGTCTATGTCCGTCAGCTTGTGCATGGGTCTGCATGTCCACGTGCATCTACGTGTGTGTATGTAAAGCGTCCCTGTGTGTGTGTGTGTGTGCAGATCAACTCCACGGTGCCCGTGGGACCAGCAGGAGCCCCTCCACTGGCATCGCAAACCCAGCCGGCCGTGATGCAGCCCACCGAGGAGCCCCCCACCTTCCCAGCGCAGTTGCCCTCCCAACAGGTGCCCTCCTCCACCCTCGACACATCGCACAGGGAACCTCCTCCCATAGCCCCTCCCATCCACCGTCCTGTCTCATTCCGAGAACGCGTCCCACCGGCCTGGCAGGTTTGCGCCGCCGGCGCCGCAGCCGGTTTTGTTGGCAAAGCAAACGGGCAGAGTCGACGTGAGGACGCAAGTGCCTTCGTGTGTGCGTGCGCGCCGTGGTGGTATGACGTGTGCGTGCATCGTAGCCAGAGGGCGAGGTGAGGCGCCCTTGAGGAGGGAGGGGCTTGGAGCAGTCATAAACACTGGACAGGACTGGGGCGGTGGGGGGCACCTAGCACAGCAACAGGACAAGACAGCACTGCACTGTCAGCACAGCAGCAGGACGGAAAATCACATCGTCGGTACATTTCGTATTCGCGCCATTGTTAAAGCGCAACGCTATTAAGAGAGAATGCAGACACAGGTTGCAGTGAGTTTCCAGTAGAGGGCGGTGGTGGCTCTGTGCTTCCAGTTGAGTTTACTGCACAGAACACAACTGATTGCAGTATCCCCTGCGCATTGGTCAGCATTAAGTTGCGACAATGCTGTGCTAAAACTGTGCCTGGAATCTTGTTTCCCTGCTGCATGATGCCATAGTACAGGGAGGTGCTGAACCCTGCTGTAGCATGGTAAGCGTGCGTGGGCTGCAGGGGCCTTAACGGGGGGGAGGGTTCGTTTTGCTGCTCAGGGAACTACCATGACCAGTGTGATGATCACATGACCACGGGCAGCCAGAACGTCTGACTGCCCCCTGCTGCAAAGGAAACCTCGATTCCTGGACACAGATCTGGGCCCAAGACAGCAGCATGCAACAAATTCAGAGTGGCAGCGCAATGGTGACACTTGTGCCTCGAGGCAAGAAGTTGCTGAGTCCGATGCCTAACTTGGGCGCCATTTTGTGGGCAGTTTGTGTTCTCTCCCCCAGTTCTGCATGGGCTTTCTTTGGGATCTCCCGCTTCCTCCCAAAGCTAACATGAAATACAATGTAACTGGTATTGGCCAAACATCCGAAAGCTGAAAATGTTACCTTACAAATGACTGAACTGGGATTACACACATCAGCATCACTCCCCCCTGTGAAAACCCATCAGGAACCTCGTGAAAAGATGCTTGAGACTCGGCGAGGCTTTTCTGGGTACACAAGTGTAGTAGTAGTAATAATAATACTGTAGCGTGCATGGGGGAAACACACATCCAGATGCAGGTTTCAGGCCAGTGTTGAGACGTCACGGTAGCGGCGTGCGATGGCGGTGCGTGGCGGTGGTGCCGAGTGCCCCCGTGTCTCCGTCTCGCTCATGCGTACAGATGGGCAGTGCCATCACCGCCGATCTGAAGCGCCAGCAGGAGGAGCTAGAGCGGAAGGCGGCCGAGCTGGACCGGCGCGAGCACGAGATGCAGGGGCACAACTACAATGGTGACGTGACACAAGCTCGCGCAACATGTGCACACGACACACCCGCACGTACACGTTCATGCTGAGGAGATGGTGGCACTCTAGTACTCGTCGTCCTGAAGCAATTTGGAATCGGAGCAAACACAATCACCTCGTTGCAAAAGAAATTCAACAGAGTGCACAGACATTATCAGTCTTTATTCAAATAAAATTTCCAGTAACGAAGGTTTGAGGATACATACACGATGCGCACGTGTGCATGACACGCACGTACACACACGCTTGCACTCGCTCATGGGCACTGTGCACGTGACCGTGATTACATTCGTGTGTGTGCGTGCGCTTTCATTCGTGTTTGTGAACAGCACGCAAGAACAACTGGCCACCCCTGCCAGCCAAGTGCCCCGTGGGGCCCTGCTTCTACCAGGACTTTGCAATAGACATTCCTCTCGACTTCCAGCGCACGGTGCGCATCCTCTACTACATGTGGATGTGTGAGTGGCACATGCACCGCCCGCTCATCCAGCCAGCGTCCACCTAGCTGAGCAACACGCCCACTGTTGGCCACCTGCTCGTGCGACGAAGTCTTGATTCAGCTCTTTATGAATATCAGCATTAGAACATCCCACCTCCTAACTTCTGCCAGAAACACCATCCTCTACCTCATACATTCTGCCTCACCCGCTCTCCCTCACCCACCGTCTCTCCGTCTCCTCCTTCCACTGTATCTCTTCCAATCCCTCTCCTTCTTACCCCGAGTCCCTTTAGTGTGTGTGTATCACCGTGCCCCTCCCCTTAACGGCACGCGGTTGGGGGCGCCGTGCCCTCCACTGTGACCCCCTCCCCGATGGTGGTGTTGGAGACAATTGTGACGTTCAAGTGCCTGTTGTTGTGTCCGTGAGATAACGGGATTGAGAGCCACTGCAGGGTGCATCGTGGGGGTCGCTGCTGACCGTGTTGCTGTAGTGATGGGAGAGGTTTTGTTACCATGGCGTCTGACTGTGCCATACTGAGTGAGGGGTGGTTACTGTGGAGAATGCCAATGTTATTTTGGTGAGCAAAAGTGGTGAGATGCTTTCATTAGTGGGTGACAGCGGTGTTTAGGTGGCGAGAAATAACAGTGATGGAGTTGCTATGGTGAGTGGTGGCATTTGCCGTTGTGTGTGATGGTTGTTGTTGCCATGGAGATCTACTGCGTTAAACTCAAATTTGGGCAGTTATGGTTGCCATGGAGAATGATGCTGTCAATGTCGTGGTGATGACGACGACGACGGTGTCCCTTCTCCCCAGTCCACTCCATCACGCTATTCCTCAATGTGCTCGGCTGCCTCGCCTGGTTCATTGTCGACGCCTCCAAGGGCGTGGACTTTGGACTGGCCATTGTGTGGTTCATCGTGTTCACGCCGTGCTCCTTTGTCTGCTGGTATAGGCCGGTCTACAAGGCGTGCAGGTACGTGTCTGGCTCGGTGCGGGGCTCCAGCGTGGCCACGGGGCCCCTTCGCCGCCCTGTTCTCCCTCGCTGGTGGCGGTCGCTTCTCCAATAATGCCACGGTGGCCCCCTGAGCCCAGCGACTCCTTCCGTGCTCTGCTGCTCGCCGAGGCATCCGCCGGCTCGGGCTGCGTTGTCGCCGTCTTTGTGCTGCGTTTTTCACTCTCCGTCTGTGTCTCTCCTCACCTGCCTCCTCCTCTCTCATCGCATCTCCCTTATTTCTGCATTCTCCTGTATTTCCACGCATGGTCTCCTCCTCTTCTTCCTCTTTTATATCCTCCATTACTCATCTTATGCTCTCCTCTCTTCTCCTCCTCTAGTTGCATCCCCCTGTCTCCCCTCCTTTTGTTTCTGCACCCTTCTTCTTCCCTTGTTACGGCCGTCTTCCTATCTCCCCCACCTTGCCCTTCCTTTCCTCCTCTTCCCTCCCTCCCCTGCCCCCTGATACCCTGCCCTCTCGGGCCGCAGTTCACGCAGTCACGCTGGTGCTGAACATGCTGGGCTACCTGGTGTACTTCTGCCTCAACCCGAACAAGGGAATCTCCTTTGGCATCTCCATCATGTGGATGATCCTCTTCATCCCCTGCTCCTTCACTTGTTGGTATCGACCCATTTACAAGGGCTTCAGGTAATGCCCGCCTCCCCCCACCCCCCCATACATCTCCTCCCACAGTCTCTCCCCCCCCCGGTCCCCTTGACCGCTCCCACGCGTCTTCTCTCGCTCCTCTTGGGTTGCATTTTGTTATCCTCCGTGGTTGATTCGGGAATTTGCATGCCTCATCTCAAATGCGCTCCCAGCTTCCACGCTCGCGGTGTCTGTGAAGATTGAGAGATTCCTCCGCTGAAAAATCGTGCCAAGGTTACGTGTAGGTTAACGGAGCCAACGAAAATGTCGAAATGAGACTGAATAAACGAGAAACAATACAAACTGGATGGTTAATAAACAAGACCGAAGAATAGATTATTGAGTTAAATCTCCACCCACAATCGTAACAATTTATTTTGCTCAGTCGGTGTTAGCCGATGAGGTCATGACAGGTTTATTTTTTCCTTCCTGTTGCTCTATGCCCCTGTGCCGTTCCCATTATGCTGTAATGTTCACTGCTGCTTCCTTTATTTAGGGCGATATTGGCACATAAAATAAAGATTGATTGATGGAGCCGCTCTTCAGTCGGAAGGTTGCGAGTTCAAATCCTGATTGGGAGGTTGACTCGGCTCATGAACCCTCTGGGGATTGTATAATTAGCACCACGAAGTGGAGAAGTCAACAGTGGTTGCCCACTGGATAGACTCGCCCGACCAAAGGAATGTGGAATTTTCACAACTGGCTCAGGGCTGTAAATAGGTGGTCAGCACCGCCTCAATGCTTATTTGAACAGGAAATGACTGGCTATGAATAGAATCACGCAGGGTTACTCGGTTATTTATTTGTGCGGCAGGGTAGCGGCATGGTGGTGTAACACAGTGCTGTAACACTTGCCCCTCGTAGCAAGAAGGGACTGTTTTCCGGCTCGGGGACATTTCTACACGGAGTTTGTACATTATCCACCTGGTCTGCATGGGTTTCCTCCGGTTTCTTCCCATAGCTAAAAAATAACATACAATGTAACTGGCATTAGCCAAACATTTACAATGCTTCAAATTACCCTGCAAATGATACATTTTGGATGAATTACACCGCAGCAATATCGCTCCCCACTGTGATCATTTAGCAGGACCCATCTGAACAAGGGGCTTGAGGCTTGGTTCCTCAGTAGAGTGTAAAAATAAAATAAACCGATGTGCATGTCTTGTACGCGGGGACATTACCGATGTGGGCGTGCCTCGTGTTAGCACTCGCGCTTGTCGTTCTCATTCTTGTGGTTCTATTGTTACTTATTTATTTTCCCCGTGCCCCCCTCCCCCCATGTCTCGGCAGGAGTGACAGCTCCTTCAACTTCTTCCTCTTCTTCTTCATATTCTTCGCTCAGTTCGTAGTGCACGTGCTGCAGGCTGTCGGCATCCCAGGCTGGGGAAACTGGTACACAACAACAACAGCCACCATTCGGTGGTGACGTCACCGCAGTGCTTGTGCCAGGATAGGTGCACTTTTAGGCCTTCAAGTGAAATGTGGAAGGCTCACCGCTGCTGGCAGAATGTATTGGAACAGACCTGGGTGTTATGGTTAGACTGACTGGGAGGCCTGCAGATGCATCATCTGTGCTCCCCACTGTGCCACCTCACTTGGTATTAGCAGCACGTCCACAAACTTGGCCATAGCTATCCCAGCCACCTAAGTAAAATTATTGTCTATGACTACATTATTGGCAAGGGGTAACTGATCCTATCATCGACCTTGCATAGGTAGACTCAGCCTTGATTGAGTACTTGGTACGGTGTGTGAGCATCAGCACTGGGGAGACAAAGGCAGCCAGGGATGGTGCTGGCCACCCACCCCCTCATGTGCTTTGCCGGCCTTCATAGATGCTACTCACAGCACTTGCCCCAAAAGTCTGTTTAGGCTACATGGGGGGTCTTTGTGTGTGCCTGTCTTCACCAGTGGATGGATCTCCACGATCGGAGCATTTTCATCGAACATCGCCGTGGGTGTCATACTCTCCATCATCGCCGTCATGTTCACCGCCTCGGCCGCCCTCTCCCTCATCATGCTGAAGAGGGTATGCACCATTCTGTACACACACACATGTATACACAAACACATTCCCATACACTCGTTCCCTTACATACACACAATCACGTGCATACAAAGGCATATACATTCACACACGCACACATCCAAATATATTCATACACATGCACACACTTAACACTCCTGCACCCACACCAGCACAAAATAAGACACGCACACGTGCCCACCCTGACCACACCCTGCACCACATGAGTATTGTGCACACACACGTAAGCACACGCACACCTTCACCCGCGTGTACTGCGAGCTGCCTCCAGTGACATTGCATGTGCGTGTGCCAACATGTGCATGTATCCGTGTGTGTCTTTGTGGGGAGTGGTGGTGTAGTGGTTAGTATGCTGTACTACGAATCTAATTACCCGAGTTCGATTCCCACTCATGGCCACCACCAACACCAGTGACAATTATCTGAACCGGTCCTGGGACTCCCCTAGGTCATCTCAACCTCAAAAAGAGTACCTGATATGGTGTGTAAACATGACCACTCGGGAACTGGCCACACTCCCTCCTCGTGCGCCGTACCGGCTTTGATAGGTGCTCGCTAATAGCACTTGCCCCAACAGTCTGTTTAGGCTATATGGGGATCATTGTTTTGTCTTTTTTTTGTCTTTTTTTGTCTGTGTGTGTGCAGGTGCACTCGATGTACCGACGTACAGGCGCCAGCTTTGAGAAGGCGCAGCAGGAGTTTGCACAGGGCGTGTTCACCAACCGCACGGTGCAGAACACGGCAGCCAATGCCGCTGCCGCCTCCCTGCGCGACCCCATGTGATCCTCTCGCCCCTTCGCTCTGCCCCCACACCTGGACCCCCCCTGCCCTCCACTCCCAACGACCCCGACTGCCCCTTCTGGCCCCTGCCGGAGGTCGTGGGGCAGCGGCTGCCGGCATGAAGCTGAGGAAGAGTGTGCGGCACCCCTCCTGGCACGCGGCGTGTTGTTACACTCGCTCGCGCACTCGCACACACCAATCACGCACATCATCTTGGAAACGCACACATGCACAAGCACACACCATCGCACACACAAGCACACACCAGCGAACACCATCGCACATACCATAGCACACACACAAGCACACACTATCGCACACACAAGCACACACCATCGCGCGCACACCATCACACACACAAGCACACCATCACACACACAAGCACACACCATCACACACACACAAGCACACACCATCGCACACACAAGCACACACCATCGTACACACAAGCACACACCATCGCACACCCAAGCACACACCATCACACATGCACAAGCACACCCAAGCACACACCATCACACATGCACAAGCACACACCATCGCACACACAAGCACACACTCGCGCACGTGAGCATACATCGCCCCTTGTTCACCATGCAGAAGCTGTGGATCGTGCGATGCCATCAGCACTGCCCTCTGTCTGCGGGGGTCGCATTTGATCGTGTCTGCCTTCGCTTTCTTATTTAACTTCCTCGCTGCTCTTTCGATGGACGCTGAGCCGCAACCACAGCACGGACGTTGCACCCCACGTCCCCTCTGCCCCCGCTGCCTCGGCCTGGGAACGACCCCGGCGGCTTTTGTGTTCCGTGGGGAATCTGGGGGTTGCCCAAACTCGGGGAATGCCACCCTTGTTGATACGTGCTGCAGACGACGGCCCCGCGATGTACACATGCGTGTGCGATCGGGATGACAGGATGGGGGGGGAGGTGGGCCCTGTGGAAACCACTGCGTATGCTGTCTCGTTTTTCCTGTTTGCCTTTTGTGTTGTCACCTTCTGTTCGGGGTCATTTCGCACCACCCTCCATCTCGAGCGCGGGAGGGCCCGTGACTCTGGTCAGGGTTCCCCGGGTCCTCCCCAGAAGCCCCCCCCCAGAGGGGAGACGCGTGCACTTTGACGTGATGTGTGTGTGTGTGATTGGGGTGGCGCGTTTGTCCCCGCCGCGTGCACTCTTCGTTGGTGGTGCGGGGAGCCGGCGGTGCCGTGAGTGTGTGCGGTGTCTCCCCGTGTGCGGTGGCGGTTACCAATAGGCCGCCCACCATGGTTGGACGCTGGTTGGTGTACAGTGTATCGGAATTCGAAGGGCTGGTGTAATGAAATTGTTCATGTAAAAAAAACATTAAAAGTTTATCATACGTTTTACACGCTGCTCGTGGCTGAGAGTGCAGAGGTGGAGTTGCGATTTACTCCTGCGAGATGTATGGGGGGGAGGGAGGGGTGAGATGGGAGGTGAGTGGAGGGTTGAAGGTGGGGAGGGGGTTTAATAATAATTTATAGAGCGCACATTTCACGACGCATTGTTCCAAACCCCAGATACGCAGAGCCAGAGCTCAAAGTACCTCCCTCGTACGCCAGCCTGAACGAGGGCGAGAGCCTTAAGCTGCTGCTTGAAGCTGGGTGATGCTGGGGCAGCTCCAGAGAAACGCCACTCAGGATAGCCCTGGTTCTGAGTACAATCAGCAGGTGCTATTCTCTGGCTCGCCAGGAGAAGGCAGTACAGCAAGTTGATAAAATTCGCCTGTTTCCATCTGTGCAGGAATAGTATTGCCCCTTGCATGCGTGGGTTTTCTCCGGTTGCTCTGGTTTCCTCAAATGCATAAACGTTCATACAGTGGCTGAACACATTTAACACAAACACCCAACGCAGGACCGACCTGTTAAACAGTCCCACGACTCGGTGTGGCTCTCATGGATAAACACGTTTAACATTTTAAATGAGGGCTGGTAGCAAAGCAATGGAAGCCACATGTCCGCAACAAATGCCCAGGGCAGCGTGAGACGGGGCGCTTTGAAGCCACTGTAGGCGAGCTGTGTTTCTGATTCAAGAGCCGAATGGCTCACAGGGCTCTACCAAATAAATGAAACTGAAATAAATAAATGAAAAAACTGATGCCACAGTAAGGATGGCGTTGTTAGTAATCAAGGCGACTCCGCTGCAAGCCAGAGTGTTTGCTGTGGTGTCGGCAACATTGGGCGGATGTGCCATCCGGCCCTGAGGTCGATCAGTAGTCCATGTCTCTCTGTGACGCGGCAAAGCCCCGTGGAGCGAGTTGACCACTTCGCCAGCTCGCTCGCTCGCCACGTGCGAGCGAGATCCGTGGTGCAGGACGGGCACCGTCCACCAGGCGGCGACACGTGCACAGAGGCCGCATCCCGGAAGTGACGCCACCCCCCCCCCCCCCCTCTCAGTCGCGTCCCCCCCGCGGAAATGACCCCTCCCCCCTGGTATCTCGCCCAACCGGAACCCCTCCCGCCGGAAGCTGCTCCCGCGGCAGTCACGCGGAACCGGAAGTCTCTCCCCCGGTCGAGCACGCGACCAGAAGTTGACCCCCCCCACCCCCGGCACGCGGAACCGGAAGTTCCCCTCCCCCCGCCCCAGCCTCGCAGCGCAGTGAAGATGGCGGAGGAGACGGCGGGAACGCGGGTCCAGCCGCTCCGACAGCAGCAACAACAACAACAACACGCACCACCACCACAACCACCGCAACAATCGCAGCAACCGCAGCAGCTGCAGCATGGGCCGCGCGTCGTGTGCATCGTCAAGTCGGAGACGGGCTACGGGTTTAACGTGCGCGGGCAGGTGAGCGAGGGCGGGCAGCTGCGCAGCATCAACGGGGAGCTGTACGCGCCGCTGCAGCACGTGAGCGCCGTGCTGCCGGGGGGCGCCGCCGAGCGAGCCGGGGTCCTCAAGGGGGACCGCATCCTCGCCGTGTGAGTAGTCGCCCGCGGCAGGGCGCTCCCCTCCTCGCGGCAGGGCGCTCCTGGTCACGCTCTCGGTCACAACAGCAGCACCGTCCACACTCACGCACACCGCGCTGAACACGCGAATAGCGGCACGCGATGTTGATACGGATACCAGCGGGGGCTCACCGCGTGCTCGCCGAGTGACCGGTGAGTTTCCCGCCGGTACTCCTCGCAGTACTTTACACGAACAACACGGGACACCAGCATCGGTACGCGGACGCCAACATGGACACATCAGCGCCTCCCACGCGCCAACATCGAGAGCACGGAGTCCGCATCCTCGCCATGTGACTTGTGACTCAACACGGTCGTTAAATCACACATCGCGAATAGCACGAATAGCACACACACTAGACCAATAACACAATAGCACGAATAGCACACACACTAGACGGATAGCACACACACTAGAGCAATAACACAATATCACGAATAGCACACACACTAGACGGATAGCACACACACTAGACGGATGGCACACACTATATTACTACAACACTGGCAGTGCACCAGCTGTACAGTGCAGCGAGGCACTATACAGTACTATTATGAACAATAACACTGGCAGTGCATTAAACTCCCAACAATATACCGGCAGCAGCATCTCATACCTGGCATACCACAAATATACACAAATCATCGCACGACAACAAGAGGAGTGATGATTGCGTGTGTGGGTGTGATTATGCATACGTCTGTGTGGGGAAGCGGTGGTGTAGTGGTTAGCGCACTGAACTACGAATCCGACGACCAGCGCTAATTTCCCGCTAACGACCAACGATGAAGAATATCATAACTAGGTCCTGGGCCGCTCGGTCCACTCAACCTTCCATGAATACCTGGCGCGGTGTGTAAAACATCAGTGGTGGGGAGACAAAGGCGGCTTGGCGTAGTGCTGGCCACCCACCGCTCGTGTTCCGTTTCGGGTTTCATAGGCGCTCGCTAACAGTACTTCCCCAAAAGTGTGTTAAAGCTATAGGGGGATTTATCTTGGACATTCTAAAACATAGATCTCATCATACGTACGAAGAGGGGAGTCTGATGAGGTGACACCGCCAATTCGTCACACGGCCATCGAGGATTTTGCTCGCGACACGGGCATCACGACGAACGTATTTACGAGAATGAGCTTCAGCAAATTATACATTCGCTTCTGTTGGAGTGTGCGGGGATCGGGGTCAAGAGGATCGTAACAGAAGTAACGTTCAGGACAAGTTCGCTTAACGTGTCAATGCAGCTGTAAGCACAGCGGAGTTTGTTTTACCTGGGGCTGTTATTGATGGGCGAACCAGGAAACGAGCGCGTCGCCTTAACGGAGTGTACTGTACCTGGTGTGGGGTGTCACCATCCGGAACCGGGGAGACAAAGGTGGCCGAGCGTGGTTCTGGCCACCACCCCTCATGTGCCGTTCTAGCCTCTATAGGTGCTCGCTAACAACACCTTTAAAACACATATTATTGCGGTGGGTCCTTTGTTGATGTGTATAGGTGTGTGACATGATGGTGGGTGTTGATGTTATATATGTGCGCAGAGTGGTAATGTGATGATGGTTAGCGCACTGCACTGCGAACCCGACGACCCGGGGTTCAATCCCGCTTGTGGCCAACGCCGGTTCCGATTTTTGTAATCGGCCCCTTGCCTTCCCTTAGCCGATGCAGCTGTACATTACTAGCTGTTGCTGTGTGTAAACATCATCACTGGGGAGACAAAGACGACCGAGCGTGGTGGTAGCCACACCACTGCCTCGTGCGCTATTTCGGCCTATAGAGGTGCTCGCTAACAACATTAACGGTCTTTTAACGCCATACGGGGAGGATCTTTGTTGATATATTGATTTTGTGTTGTAGCGTGCAGATGAGTATGTGTGTGTATATATATCATCCTCAAAGGATGAGTTTCCATTTCAAGAGCTTGGCTCAGCTGCTGCCTCTGCTGCAGCTGATGGCTATGATGATGATGATGTCACTGCCTTGGCTGGAGCCGAGTCGGTCGGGGTGTTGCGGCGTGCCCCCCGGGGTTGGGGCCGACCCAGTCTGTGGTGGGTCCCCAGTCTGTGGTGAGACTCACTGCCTCCTCTTTCTCCTCCGTGAGACAGCATCGTGAGAGCCGGTGTGTCGCCGGTGCCCACTCCACGATTATTGAACATTGTTGTGCCACGGTGAAGGATAATTCAAGTGGACTTGGATAGGACGCGTCATGGCGAGAAGCACGACGGCCGGTAGTCGAGAATGGAAATGGAGTGACAGCCACGGAATGGAGCGCGTCTGAGAGGACGTCCACTGAGGAGATTGAGTGATAAAGCCGACTCGTGTGTGGCTCCAAAGCCAAAGTGACTTTCTGCTCAAATGAGCATTTAGGCGGTGCTCATCTCCTGATTACAGCTCAAAGCCAGTGATGGAAATTTTACTTTTCCATGACAGGTGCGAGTTTATCCATAGACATTGACCGCTGTTCACTTACACACACACACATTATTATTCCATAATTTATTAACCCAGGAGGAATTACGAGCTGAGCCAAGCCCCA